CCACCCCCACCGCCGCCCAGGTCCAGCTGCCCCAGCAGGACGAGGAGAAGACCATCATCTACGTGCTGTCCAAGAAGCCCGAGGACCAGGCCGAGATCAACGTGCAGGCCGCCGCCCCCACCACGCCCACCAAGCCCGAGGTCTACTTCATCAAGTACAACACCAAGAAGGAGCAGTCCGGCGGCCTCAGCCTGTCTGCCGCCAACGGCCCCTCGTCCAGCTACGGCGTGCCCGCCTCCATCTCCGCCAACGTCGCCGCCCCCAGCAACAGCTACATCCCCGCCCCCATCCCCCAGGCCGCGGCCCCGAGCAGCAGCTACGGCGTGCCCAGCGCCAACGGCGGCCCCTACTAAAAAGACTGGCACCGCACCAATCTAGCTCAAACCCATCACCATCATCATCTCATCATCGCTCATTGGACCAAGTCATGATTATTGTTGTTACCAGTTATTATTTATGTTATGTGATCAGTCTGATGTCCCGAGTCGCCCTGATACAGAACAAAGAGAGCTTGAAGAGGTACTAGAGTCTGTAGTGCCCTGGGTGGGCCTTGTAATATAGATAGTGTACTGCGTGTGACTGTAGTTTTCCTATGCAAACAAAAGACTTAACGGTGGCTCAAAAATGTATTTTTGTACAAAACATAACATCTTGTTTCATTACTTCAACTTCAACCTCCTCACTCCAAAATTTCAGAAATTTTCCAATCAACTAAAAAGTGTTTGCGTGTTTAAACTCCTGGAAACCGGAATGTCTTCTAGGTATGCAGAGGATATTGAATACTTTGGCACATGGCATTCAGGGTAGGGTTGTACCGAGTGATTCAGAGAAGACGCAGGAGCGAGAGGGTTTGCCTACCCAAGGGGCTATGGCGTCTTACGGGCAGATCGGGTAGGCAAACCTGCGTCTTCTCTGAATCACCCGGTACGTCTAGGTGTGCACCTCCTACATACACAGTGACCATATTTCAACACTATCATATATGGTGACTATCTCCTGTAGAGAGTGAATTCAAAATACTGCATACATGAACACATGTGGGTTTCCAGAGCTTCTCGGTGCCAAACTCAATAAGGCTTTCCCAAACCGTCGTCGGCCGGCGTGGCGAACTCAATCCTCTGTCAGTCCTCGCCGGACACTACTCCTCGCCTCGCAACTACTCGCCACTGCCGCTTTAAGACGACATCCGAATGCGAAAGGGCGCGTGCATCGTCGTAATTTTAGTGGAATTATCATTGCGTTATAGATGGCTTATTGGCTCATAGAGGACCTTTTGCTATTCCACTCGAACGGAGGCTAAGTGCGCCGGCGCGCCGGGTGCATAGGCATCCCATTTGACGGCTGTGATGGGACTGAGCCTACCTCGCATCTGACGCACATATTCCAGGAGTCTCCTGCATATTCCGCATATTACGTATTCGACTCATGCGCGTCTTATGGGCGGTAAAGGGGCGACCCCCCTCCCTCGAGAAACCTTATATTCTCTCTACCTTAAGACTATGTTTGTCGATGTGCGATTTGAGAAAGCACTTTATTCCTTGTGACTCATTTGCTCACTCACTTGGTCAGTGGTTTTCTTATCAGTCAATGGAATGACGTAAATTAAAGATTCTAATTCGCTCAGACGGGATCCTCCAGCGGGCGCGAGTGCCAGCAACTGTTGGCCAGTAAAAGTAAATAGCCCACCCTAGCTTCCCCGCCCCCCTCCCCCTACTTCCAGTGCTTCCAGGCATGCGTCATCCGTTTCCCGATTACAGTCCCCGTCGATCCCCTCCAACGGCAAAATCCATGGCAGGGAATACCCGAAAGTCCTCCAGCTCTCTCCTACGCCCGTCTTTGGTGATAAAGGAGTGAGACAGAAAATGTTGTACGCTGACAGCTCGCTGGACAGCGGTATCACTACGGCCAGTCCTGTCGTGGCGTTCAGTCAGTGAAGCAGTGGGTAGATTAGAGACGAGGCGGAGTACGTGTGCAATAGGACAAGTAGAGTTTTGTTGCTTTCCCCACTAGAACTGAAAGATTAACTATGAGGCTCAATCAAAAATCTTATAGCCCACAAAGCCGACATTGTGACAGAGATCTCTTATAATTAAGAGGCTTGGAAGTATGGCGGGTTTGAGTGAAAGTGAAAAAGCTTTTGTTAAGAAATTCCTGAAGCTGTTTAACAATGATGATGTTTCTGCAATTGCACACATTGTCACTCAGCATATGGGGAATACACGATCAAGAAGAGGTATGTTTTATTTTGTTTTGGTTGATGCCCTTTGCTTGTTTTACATTTGAAAATTAAATCAAAACCATGCATCTACTTATTTCTTTTTTCTAGCTTGTGAGGATGCAATTGTATTAAATTCAGCATCTCTTGATTCTTTCCTTAAGCACAAAAGGGTTACTAAAGAAAAATTATTAAATTACCTTACTCAAGAGAAAATACCTGTAGCTGACAAACACAAAGCTGCATTAGAGCTGCAAATAAAAGGACTTATAAGTGGTAATAGCAATATACACTTAAGCCCCATCAGAACTGATTTTGACCCTCATAGCACTCCTAGGGCTCTGAGTTCAGTTAGGGATAGTAGTTCGGATTCATGTTGCAAACCCTAGTCTTCAACAATAACAAGCAATGTCCCACCTATTGCTAAACTGCCACCATTAGCAGATCATTATGTCCCTAGCCCCAGCCCAGCACAGGTTTGTGTTAAAAATAATAAATTATTGGTACCAATGCAATTTTAAAATTGATAGCATTCATCCCAATAACAATAGTTCTAATTGGTTTCAGTTTAACTTTGCTGCAACATCGGCTCGAATTACTACTGAAGCAAGAGTTACAACAACTTATTGTAAGACGGAAACAATTATCTCTCTTGCTCAGCCAGATCATACTACTTATATTATTTCAAAGTTTGCAGAGTGGTTTTATAATAAAGTTAACCAATCCGGAGGTTTTCGGTATGAAGATTTCTGGCAAGATATTAACATAAACTTGATGTTAAAAGACAACTTTGATACCGAAAAAGTAGCACAGCGTGCAACAAATTCTGTAAGCATTACTGTTGTACCTAGTGTTACACCTAGGGTTCAAAACTGTTTCTCACTTTTGTCTATTTTACAGGCTGGACTTCTTAATCAAATTTCAGGAGCGTATAAATTGAATATGAAACCAAATTCAAGTCCACAGGGTATATGGGCACGAGGAAAGGAAGCGGATGGGCTGCTTCAAGTATTAGTCTGTGGCACTTTGCATCAATGTAGTCCGGCACAGCATTGCCAAGGCATCCAATTTGGTCCATGTTTAGGAATGTTTGAAAACTTGTTCTTAATTGCCTATGACAGGTCTATCAATAGTTGGAAGATAAAAAAATTAAATGGCATTTTAAAAAGTGCCCCATACATGCAACAGCTGCCAACAATAGCGGACTCAGAACTTATCAACTCAATTGTATTAAGATTCAATAATGTAAGGAGCGTTATTCATCCACTTGTACTTTTTGTTGGTGTCTGTTCACTGCTTACTCTCAAGTCTTAAAATATCTGACTATCTAGTTGTAAGGTATACTTTACCCCATTCCAATGATCTTCCTTCCTTCACACTAAAATGAGAGACAGCAGTTGACGTATTAAAAATTGTAAAGTGGTGTGAGAAAATTATGTATCATGATTGTTCAGAGGGCTTATTATTCTACCCGATGTTGCGATGGTGGATTTAATTTTGTTTCTTCCATTATAAAGATATTGAGAGAATAAACAAGCTTTTCTAGCAAATTTATTTTATTACTATCACAGAGGAATCAGTGGCACTGAAGTCACAGTCAAGAAGAAGTCAGTGCATATGAAAATGCATTATGTACATGAGGAACGCATTAATTCAAATAATAAAGTTCTATAGACATAAAAGCAGTTAATGTTAGTCATTTTCAGTACATATTAAATTGAGGAAAGAACAATTGTTTTCTGCAAAGTTAATTGGCAAAATGATATAATGGCAGTCGAAGAGCATTCACTGACGTCAAAACTATTTTTTAACAATCCACTCAAAACTAGATACTCAAATTCAGTTATGATGAAACACCAGTGAAAAATTTTGTAGAATTGTAGTAAACAAAAATAGAAACTGTGTCAAGCATTGGAACACATTGGGTACTGAACAGCAATAAGTCACAAATAACTTGATTCAATAAATGCTCAAGACCAAAACAATTTTAGGAAAGTGCACAGCTTATAATCAATAGGAGGAAACAAATAATTTGATATTAATTTGATCACACTAGTTTGTGCATGATTAATAAAATGCAGAGAAAGAGGCAGAATCGTCAAGTTGTCAATAAGTCATGGAGGGAGTTAAACCACACAGAAAACTAGATACTAGACCCCACATTCAAAACCACAAACATGCAACAAAAATTTAATACCAACAATGAAAAAATTCAACAACCACAACTATACTTGAAGTGCTCATGCCCGAAAAGACTAAACAAAACAAGAAATGAAAGTTAGTCAGAGTGTCCGAAAGTCAAGACAGAGTGATACATAGAATAAAATTGATGTTCCATACTATGTGCCAGTGAGTCTCATCACAAAGTACAGTGGATAAAAATAATATAAATGAATTTCTTGTCTTGAAATTTATAGTTGGAATGATTCAGTTTTTGGGCAGAGTAGCTTAAACGTTGGCTGAAACATAGATGGCAAAATACTATGGTAAGTTGTTAAAATGAAATCTAAACTGATTTTAAATAGTTTTGTATCCAGGGGTTTGACTCACCTAACATGCTAAGCCTTAATTGGAGAACAAATTTGTCCATAACATGGCAGGTTCTACAGAATTTTGCATCTCCATCTCCAATGGTATTCTAGAGTTATCAAAGCTGGAAGCTCCTGGCCTCACTGCATCATCAAGAAAAACCTGACGGGGATATAAGTAGCTTGTTGCAAGAAAAGCATTTAGCAGAAAATTGTGTTTGTATGCCATTATGTGTAAGACCTCCCAGCCTGGGAAAATCGGTTGTCCTTACCTTTCCTGTTTGCTCGTGAAATTAAAGCTGTGACCATATTTTGCGATGAAGTCTCATATTTGTGCAAAATAGAATAGGTAATAAATGAACTTGATGCCTTGAAATATGGAGGCAGAATGACTATCTGGTTGCAGAGCAGCATTGAAGTGTTGGCTGAAACATAGATGCTAAAATATAAAAGGTTTTAAAGAGAAAATCTAAATTGATAAAAATGGTCTCATTTTCAATTTGACTGATTAAAGTTTCTGTACTAAGAAGACTTGGGCAAAAAGCTTACATTTACTTAAATATTTCAAAGAGATAAATAGTATACAAATTGAATCAAAGAGTGCTACAGTACATAAAGTACATTTCATAAAGTAGAGTGAAACGTTCAGATTTGAATTTCATGAAGGTATTCGAACAACTTACCAGCCATAAGCCTCCGGGGAGCAAAAGCATCCTCATCCTTGTGTGGCAGCATATGAGATGGCCTCCAGAGAATGATTGGCTCGTGGTACTCTTAGAGTTGTCGAAGCTGGAAGTTGCTGCTGGTCTGCTGCATCGAGAAGAATCTGAGGGGAGAAAAGGCAGATGTTAGTGACAAACACATTCCACGGAATACTGATCATGTTCCCTATGTAAACATGTGGAGGATGTCTCAGCCTGGGCTTGGGGAAAACTGTTGTGCTTAACTTTCGGATGCTCGGGATTTAGCTTTAACGGCATTGATAGCAGACTGCCATGTC